AAAAATTGTAAAATTTAATATCAGTAAAATATATTTTCAGATACCATAAGATTCGACAAACGCGAATGTCCATTTTGAACTCTTGAAAATGCAATACAAAAATTGAAGCTTTAGTATCTGCTATATTTTTATTTCTTTGAAGCTACGTAATACATTTTAGTTGATTGAAGTACATAGTAACTGTATAAAGATTTTATTCTATAAATATATTAAAATTTTTGCTATCATGAAAATTCTATTTTTTTATAATTTATATAAAAATGTCAATCAAATCATGCCGGTGATATTTTGAGTAGGTAATAGAACAAATATGTAGAACAATTATATATATAATACTAAAGATATAATAAAGGTGAGGTGATAAAAAAGAACAAATCTTCAAGAGCATTAATAATCAAATGTCATTTAAAATGATATTAGCTCTAAATTAATCAAAACATGATTGTCTATGCATTAAGTAGCTACAAAGTTTTATTTTGAGTCATAGCATATTATAGTTTTTATGTGGCACCTATTGTACACTTTGCGTTCAAATTCAAATAGATGTAAATAAAACTGTTTCCTAAACTAGATAAAGTTTTACAACGCTAATAAAAAACTGAGTTTCCAATTTTATGTAGCAGTTGTTTCTAAAAAGTTAAAACGGTTATGTTTACAAAAAGAAATATTTATATGACTATATGTGTTACAAATAACTTCTTCGTTTAAAACAAATATTGAAGTAAATTATTGAATGGAAAATACATAAATTGCCATCGCTATAACAGTTACAGGCTTCGGAAGATCAATAGAGTCAAAGAAATCAGAACATTATGTTTTGTTTGTTTAACAAACAAATATTCAGACGGGACGCCACAAGCTAGAATAATTTGATCTTAAACAGAAATATTTACTTACAAATATACAAATATTCGCTGGCATCCTATAACTTGGTATGTCTCAAAAAATAAGACTATTTTTGCAAAATACCTTAAGTTTGTAACATTTACTTTAAACAAATACATTTTATCGTTGCTCAAGCTCTAACTTGTACAAAACAGGGTACAATTTGAGCAAAACATAGAGATACACTAAACATGATATGCAAGCTCAGAATATAGGATTGTATGTCCCAAAGAATCTTAAGCGCTCTTTAAAATTGCCAATGACTTGAAAAATAACTCAGATATAAAACAGATTTTTAAATATTTTTGATGAAAAAGCTTCATTTCAATTATTACTTATTCCTTTTATATATTGTGTAAATAATTAAAATATCTCTAATTACGTTTTATTGAAATGAATCATATACATAGGTATGTATTTGAATTAACTAAAGAACAACACAAGAAATAAGTAGTTTCCTAAATAATAATAACAAGAGATGTGAGTAAGAATATAATTTGCATAGATTACTTTATCACAGACACATCCTCAGATTTAAGGTTTTTAAATCATATAAATTATAAATGAAATAGGATTGTTACACAGTATACATACAATGCAAGTTTGACATGAATATAAATTAATCTTTTTACATATTTCAATTATATAAAATAGCCATTGTAATTGTATTGTCCTCTAAATGTAACCTTTCATTCGATATTCCCATTCCGCTGAAATTTAGAAGAATTTCACAAAGAGAAGCTACATTTCAATTTTATACATACTTAGAACTAATCTGTGTTCATTGAAAAAAATCGAAACAAAGCGTCAAGTTTCAAAGCAACGGATGTTGGGAACCAGCTTAATAAAATGAGCAGGGGCGGACCCGATGTTTGAAGAGTTCAGTAAGGGTTTTATAAGAAAATAACTTAATTAGGAATTTAAAGGATTTAAATAAACAAAAGGTATGGCAGGTAATTACCATAAAATATTCTTAAACAGACAGATCCGGGGTACACCGACATAGCGGCCGATGGCTTTCGCAGTGGTTTTAGTGAGTAGGAGCCTGCCCAGGCCGAGCCTCACACATCCCCTCCGGCCCCACCAAGGCCTGTTGGACGGCTCGTAAAAAAAGTTTCCCTACGTCATCAAAAAAAAAATATTTTGACGGGGGAAATAACAGGGTGTCAATAACAGTATTTTGTTGTATGTAGTTATATTAATTAAAAGACTATCAAAGATTACAATACCAAAATCCGGATCACATATAAAGTATTTTAAATAATTTTTACGTACGTACATAATCATAATTAATATATACTTTTAGCAAATTAACTTTTGATTTAAACTGTAACTAAAGTCTTCGAATTTTCTTATACAAAATTCAATCGACATTGTACTACAAATATGTATATGTATATTAATACTTGTCAGTATTTTGTAAAAAAAAGACAAATAATTCCACATCATTTGAAAAAAATGTTATAAGCAATTGTAATATATTTCAAGAATAATGTCATCTACACAACGTGCAAACTTACTTACGTATTAAATGAAATCAAAAAAGTTAACAAACAAGTTTGTATTGAATTCCTTAACAAGAGACGCTGTCGTTTGGAATGCTACGACTAATTCGGTGGTTGGAAGGTAATGTATGGAATATTTCGGAATGTAAAACTCCTTGTAGCTTGTTCACGTATGCTTGCGTCCGCCGTGATGCATACACATGAATCGGCAGACGATTAATTGCCAATCTCCAAATATTTCGGTAAGCACGTGCCACCCGAGCTTGGATTACTATATTACACAACAAAATTGATGCTACCAAATAATTAATTAACGGAACTTTCGATGTTAATTTTAGATTTATCGGAAGCAGTAAATAAAATCGGTAAATCAGTTATAGAAATATTACAAATAATAAAATATATAAACATTATAATCATTAATATAATAATGTAATATCAAAATCAATACATGAAATACTAAACATTCATTAAGCACACGTCATTAAGCTCGGGACCCAAACAAATGAATGCTCTTTATATAACATTTTTCGGTCATGAATATCTTTGCTATACTTAATTATTTATCTTCGACACACGCTGCAGCAAAATGACATACCACCAAAACACATAATTGTAAGATGATAACTTTAGTACACAATAATATCATTTAATTCATGGAACGTATTTCGAAGGCAGCCCTAGTAGGTTCTTTTCAAATTTGGTTAGTTAGGGAGAGGAGCTTGAACTGTGGAAGTGAGCGTTTAACGCTCCTTAGATAATTGCCCCTTAAAGCTACACCTGGGTCGCAAGTCCCATGCACTGTTGAATCTCTTCTCCCTGCAACCTGCAACCTGTGAAGTCATTGATTGCTAAGAGGCTTCGTGTCAACGTTAAGCTTAGAATAATAAAGTACATCACATTTTAAATTATTATAAATAAGTTTTACTAACAATACATATTCGGGGTTCAAATTTTATGAACAAATTTCTGATTAGTATTATTTTGTTGTAGGAGAACATATTTTGTACATATAAAGTAATATATCTCTCAATTTGTAATATGTTAAAAAAACATGTAGGTACTTAAAAATAATAATTTATGATTATTATAATACATTTTAATAACAAAGGAACGACGTATTATATAGCTTTGTGTATATTGTCGTAATTTATTTTATGTACAAATTGAATGAATAAGACGTAGAATTCATTATTATATACGCGTCGTTTGTTAGAAACTTGAGTGTCGTTGAGACAAAGCTAATTTTATTAAATTACCTCTCGTTCCATCTGTGTTAACATATATGTGCGATTTTGACGTCTGTATGTTCCAAAACAGTGCACTTCGGATATATAGAATAGGTGTGTAACATTTTGAGATAAGATTAAAATATTAACATTTTAAAGAATTCTTGATTATTATTGAAATTGTTAATAAAATATGATTTCACGTAACTTTTCTGTATTATTGATGTGATCACACAAAATCATTTAAACCATTATGAAAAGAACAAATAAAAATACTCATTAAGACGACAATTGATTAAGTTTCAGAAGTACATTGTTATTCATCTTTATTAATATATTGTATTTTGTGTAATTTACAAGCGTCATTCGTGATTTATAAGGAAAAATAATAAACAGGCAAACGGAAAAGAATGTAATTTAACTTCTTGCCCTCTATTGGATAATATAAGTCGTTTCATAATTTCAAACGTTCGCATAACAATTTAAAACTTTTAACTTTTTGTTACTAGATGTCACTGTTTGATTGATAATTTCGTATTTAAGTTGCATACAAAGTTCTTAAATTATATTATAGATGGCAGATTTGTTATTAAAATAAAAATATTTTTGAACAGTTTTAAAAAAGAGCAATAGATTGATTTCAACTTATATATATTATTAACATTCATTAATAATATTCACCACAAGAACTTAAATATCTTTTTAATGTATATTCCTTAATAATACAAATTTCAAGAAAAAAAAATTAAGTATAATATGTTCGCGTCAAGCCAGGGATTTCACGTTCAGACTGCACTATAATACAAAATATGATCTTCTCGGAGTATTGTATAAATTGTATTGTATAAATTTACAATCAATGACAGCCTTATATATTCTCTTTTTACAGGAAGTATCATTTGTTAATACAAAAAATATGAAATTATAATGCAAATGTAGTACAAAAATATGTTTTAATATTATCAATGAAGTTAACATTTCTCTTAACAAATTATTTTATGACAAAAATCTATTTATTATCAAAATAAACTTTCTTTCATAGTTTATTGATGGCACTCACAAAGGTTTCCCATTACCAAATAATATTAAATTATTATTAGATATATTAGATAATAATTATCGATATATAATATGTCAGTGGTGACCTAATGGTTAGAGGGCCCGCCTCTCGTTGCCGAGGGCGCGGTTTCGATCCTGGCCCGGGCAAGTGCCAATGTGATTTTTCCGAATCATATGTACTTTCTAAGAATATTTAGACATCACTTATTAATGCTGACTTCCAAAACGAGTTTTGATGTCAGGCAGGCGGCCGGTCGTAAAAAAAAAAACAATTAACCATAACAATAGTTGAGATCTGGACTTATACTATTATAGTATTAATTTAAACATATAATATGTAAGAAGAATAGTACCCGGAGTCCTCACCAGCCGGTAGGTGAGGACTCCGGGTTTGCGTCCCGACTACCGACCAACGCTCGAGGACGGGGAGCAGAGCGTCGATCGTCCACCGGCCGTACCTCGCGTCCTGGAGAGCCATAGTCCACTTCCTGTGGACCTCCGCCTCGCCGTCGCGGCGTACCCGGAGCAACTCTTCAGGCGTCACTAGACGGTTCTCCCTCCGGGCCGCCGTCCTAACCTCATAGATGGAGGCCAGGACCTTCGCCTCGAGGTCCCAAGGGGGAATCATACGTTGCCCTGGCACGTGTTACTTCTAAACATTTTTTTTTGCTTCTCAGAAATATTCATTCTATTTATGTTATATACAATTAAATATTGTGTTTATTTTTAATATTAACAGACTGTTATTAACATAAAAATACAATATTTATTGGTTTTAATCTTATATATAATTAATGAAGAAAGATTATGATTTTTTTGTCTGGACTCAAATAGTATTTCCTCAACCAATATTGTTAACATAGACTATTTTATGTTATTTTTTGAACCTATGTACCTAGTGCTGTATAAAGAACATAATTCGAAACGAGTTGTTTTAAGAATTTATCCACATCATTATAAATTTGATGACTTTCAGGATATCATAAGACATCTTTTACTAATGAACGTAGTATAGCTACGTAAAATAAATATTGAACATTAAAAAACAAAGGGATGAAACTGATATTTTTGGGATTAATATGAGTATTTTATTATTATGTTTTTAAACTGCAAAACTGTGAATGTCTGTGCTATGAATGTCTGCCAGTTACTTTTGTTGGCAACTGACACATATTCACATCTCGCCAGGGTATGTAGTTTTTTAAAAAATAATAAAATCCATGTAGTAATCCGAAAAGTGTTAGTTTTATTTAAATGAATACTCTCGTAAGTCTTAAATCTCACCAACCAAAGGGATGTTGAATGAAATATTAACATAATATTTACCAGTTTCAAATGAAGTTAAATAAGAATAATTACTTTTGACGTATCATTAGCAAAACCATCCTCGTTGTATGGGAATTATTAATTTGCAAAAAACGAATTCAAAAAAGTCAAGGTTAATATAAATACTATTACATGGAATTTTGAATCACATTTCAACATTAAACGAAATGATGATAGCTTTGTACTAAATAAAATATTGTGATAACCTTAGTAGTAATTCTCTAGATTTCAGAATTCCTTAAATACTTGACATGGAATCTTGTTCGAATCCTGCTGTCGAAAATATTAGGGAGCCCTTTAGACGGCTGGAGGGACGGTTTTTTATCGGTTAATAGTAAACCATCAGCTAATTAAACCCCAGTGGTTGCGGACCAGCGGATCACCTTTGAGCTTTCCAATTTAGCTACATTCCAAGACGATGCTAAGACAAGTGATTAAAATATTAAATGCGTGCATTTTTTAAAATAAATTAAACGTTTTTTTAAACACTTTGTATGTATTTACAGTAAATTTGCTACGAATCATTGTTATGTTAGATTGCTCTTGGCTGCTCTACAATACGCCTTTAATGTGATATATAAATAATAATTTGAGATGATGCATATGAAGTTTCACTATATAATGAAGAAGGGTACAGGAAATTAATTCTACACTGAACCTAGACCAAAATAATTGTCGACAACATTTTCATTCTCAAAAATATTTAAACGACAACGTTTTCGTTTTTGTTTTTGCGAAATTATATTATCTTTACGGGATAAAATAAACGCAGTAATGTAAATCAGAAATACCCGCCACCGAATTAGATTCCACCTTTATTAGGGGAACTATGTACATTATTTACTTCTTTTATGCTGACATGACGTGGTTAGGAAAATAAAGGACTCTCATACAGAATTGGTATAACCAAAATAAATAATGAAACTCAATAATAACCAACTTTAAACATGTGTAAAGATTAATAATTTTTTTTTTGCCTGTATCACAGACTAAGAGTTATCGTATACCTAATAATGTGACTCTGTCGGAGGATTGACATGTCGAAACAGAATCTTACGTATTTGCAATCTGAACTTCGGCGTAGAAGAAATACATACATATGTTACTTTTGATTATTTTATTTATTTAAGTTTTTACTATTTCCATTATTTCAATTAACAATGTGAAAAGAAATTTTTGTTGTGACAAATTTAATCCTTATCAAAAAAATTTAAACGTTTATTTATTTGAATCACTGACACGTAAAAATATAACTAAAAAGGAATTATACCCAAGATAAAAGAGATCTAAAATTTAAATTAAAAGCCATGATATATTATGAATTGATATTTGTGATTCACATTTTATTTGGGAGGCAGTTTAATGAAATTAAAAATACGATATGTTTATGTTGTTTATTTTGTATTATTCCTAATTAAATTCTTTGTTTAAAATTGTAAATAAATAAATTCATAGTCAATAATTTACTTTTCATTCATATTATTATATAATACCAGCACTGATGGAGTCATCGGTACTAGTCCTTTTAAAAATATAAGCAAAGCTCAATATCCGATATTTATTTAAGAGCTAATACATATGGAGATAAAAACTGTTTGCCATATACGTATGAGTAGTTTATTAATTAACTTTTTTCTATTATAATTCTTGTCAGCATTTGTAACCAAATATGTTGTAATTTTATAATATACATATATTTATCAAAACTCAGTTGAAAGCACGATAAAACCTGTATAGTTAAATAAATACATGTACTAAAATATGTATACGATATAATTCACAGAAGATTCTCGATAAAGCATAGTGGCACAAAGTATTTTCATTCTACAATATATTATAGAAATTCACTGAACTCAACTATTTAATAAAATAATATTTCAAAAGGAATTTAAAAATAGATATTCAGTTACAGCAATAGTAGAGGGAATGCGGAAATAACTTTCCAGTTATAGAAATGCCAGAGTTCATCTTTATATCTTGACTACATTTATGTCACAGAAGATCGGCGTGAAGTAGGCTTTATTGGCTGAGTTTCTTCCGATGAGTGAGAGAGCTAGTTGCCCTTTCCCTTTTTTCACCCTTTCCCTTTTCCCAACCTTTCCTTTCCTATCTCCCCAAATAAGGGCGGCAGCGCATACGCAAAAACATTTTGCGGATGTCCATGGGCGACAATGCCTACTACCCATCACGTAGGCCGCCGGCCCGTTTGCCATCTTTCTCATAAAAATGTCAATCTTGTTATATTCTTGATTAAGTAAACGTAAACCGACATATGTATGTAGATGATAAAAGTAACAGATTACCGATACATTTTTTGCCCGTATATTAAATTCCCCATTGTCCTGAATTTTTAGTTTTGAAAATATACATGTTACATTGAGAAAAATATATATTGAAGCTTGAAATATTTTTCCTGTATTTCAGACCATTCGTGATTCTATAACTCTTTATATAATAATAAAGACATTTTATTCCACAATTTGATCGATCTCCGGTGAATTTTTTTTATTTTATTCATAGAGATTACTTCAACGAGTGTGATTTAAAACTGAACATGCAGGTAAGATATAAGGTATTACATAGAAAATATTTTGAATCTTTATAACACTTGCTATTATTCTTTTACTCCTTTATCTGTTTTCATTTTATTATTTTTCCTTTACAACAACCGTGATAACGGGCAGACCCTTCTGGTAGTCCGAAACTTCGGGATTATCCTATTAATATTATGAAGGTGAAAGTTTGTGAGAATGTATGAATGCATGTTTATTATTCTTTCACGCAAAAACGCCTAAAACGATTTGGTTGAAATTTGGTATGCAGATAACTGATACCCTAGATTAGCTTTCAAGCTACTTTTTTCCCGGTCAACAGGGGTGAAACCGTATAAGTAACGATATTTAAAATGTTACCTAAACCCGTTAAGATATACCTACTTGTAACAAAATAATTTATGATGAATTTGTGTGTCTTATATAAGTCTACATAAAAGTACGGTATTATTCCTTATTATTTTAAGTAGGTTGCTTGGCTTGGTTTGGAAGATTATCTTTTTCCTTTACATCATGCAAATTAAATAAATAATTAAGGAGATATAGCAAAATCAAAATAACGCGGAACAAAATTAATTTCGTATTGCCCGAGCAATAATTTTGTTTTTATTTTGACTACAAATATTACGTAGGTTGCTATTTGATTTTATATTTGGTATTGATAACAATAAAATTAATGCATCATTGGTGACGCAACCTTAAAAGAAGAGACATACCTAATTTTATTTAGCCTTTTTATCGACACCCCACGAGGGCAATGCCGCGGCCGGAAGCTAGTGTAGTGATAAAATAATAAAAAAAAACGTAGTATTTGACGAATTTAGTTTCGTTTAAATGAATACACCCGAAAGACTTAAAAGCCACTAGCATTAAAACTTCTACTAGTATACTCTAAACCTAGCAAGGTATTTAAAGAGTTCCATAGTTCTCATAGTTCTATAAAATAAATTCAATACTTCAAGGGTTTTGTAAACATTGTTAAGATTTATTCATCACGGTTGTTACTTACGTTTCATTCAACGAAACTTTATGTACTGCTATAGATGCTGTGATATAACTCCATCGTTATCTTCGTCGTCAGTCTTATTTCATCGTTTGAAAGAATATTCTATAAGTAATTTTGTCATAATCTTGTTCGTAAAATCTGTGAAAACCCATCCATGTTATGTACTACTGAGGCCTTTGATTGAGTCTCGATATTTTCAAATATGCCAGTCCTAAGTTTTCTTTTATAACGAAGCAGGGACACGTAAGTTATTTTACTGATTCTGATGCTTTTCGAAATGAAATTTTATAATTTTTATAAAATAATAAAAAAGTTATATTATTATAACAGTTTTTAATTCGTCATAAGTTTGTATCTACTGTGACTGACTGCATTAATATGTTCTTATAACCACTTGCAGATATTTTACAAAAAGACAGTATTGCTCGGTTTCATAATCATTATAATTAAGAAGAAAACAAATTACAGAATATATAATGTAATAAATATATGGAAACAAGATATTTTTTTAGTAAATCTCATATGAAGGCAAACATTTCCTTTATTATATAAGTCTCCAAATTTTCCAAGTAATTTCTCATAATTACATAATTATCTCAATATATTCCACTTCAAACTATTAGGAATATTTTTATGTCTTTTGAGCAATTAATATGCATTACTCAATTAAGTATTTAGATTAATAAAAAAAATACACTTCAACTTATTTTTTTTATAATCAAATAGGTATGAAGTGCATTTTAA